GCACACAGAAAAGCGTGAATGCAAAGCAGCTTTGGCAAGATTTTAATTCTGCTCAGCCAGTGCCATAGCCAGGCTGTGGGCTGTACCCCAAAGTGGTTTCTTTTGACATCATTTTCCCTCTGATCTCCCTTGCAGAGTGCCTGTGTTTGGCACATTCCCATGCTCCATTTACTGCTTTTCTCTCTGGTTTCTTGCCCCACTGTGGGGGACCCCAAGAGCTGCAGAATGGCCCAGGCAGAGGATCCTGCAATTCAGACAAGTGGGGCCACCCCAGTGGGTTCGGGGAACCCCAATACTGATTACACAGCAGTGGGGACATGCTGAGCTGCAACCCTGTGGCTTTAATGCTTGGTGCCCCTTGCCCACCCCATGCATTGCTCAGGAGGTTGCAAGCTTGCAAAATTCTCCATTGCTATCCTATGGAGGACTGCCATGGGAGGCCACCAAAACTGGGCTCTGCACATCCCGAACTCTGGGTCTCGCTTCCCCATGGCCCCATGCAAGGCTGTGTACACCCACGGCCAGCTGTGAAACCCTTCTGGCAGGGTCCCAACCAGCAGTGACGGAAGTGGAAATCCACCTCTGTGCTCTCTGCATCTCCGCCTCATCTAAACCCAACTTCAGGTTCAATTCTGCACCTCCCGAGTAGGGCAAAGGCATCCTGCATTGCTCAGTTTTGATCCTGACTCACGCTGTGCAGGACGGGATCAGCCAGGAATGCAAGATGCTAAATGTGCATTTAATGCACTTTTAAACACAGTCCGATCCCCAACCGCGGTTTGCCATGTGCCCACTTCGACACAGCCTCGACTGCAGCATGTTACACGCACACTGAATGCACACGGCCCCACGTGCAGCATGTCAGGTGCACATTTAGTGCGTTAGTGCAGTATATGCAATGCAAGACCAGTCCCAGATGCAGCATGCTTGTGGATATGTAGTGGTGAGGCACTGGGACAGGTTGCCCAGAGAAGCTGTGGATGCCCCATCCCTGGAAGTGTCCAAGGCCAGGCTGAATGAGGCTTGGAGCAACCTGGTCTAGGGGAAGGTGTCCCTGCCCATGGCAGGGAGTGGGACTGAGTGGGCTTTAGTCCCTTCCAACCCAAATCAGTCTGTGATCCTATGATTTAACGAATCGTTTAATTAATTAACTATTAAATGCCAGGCTGCAGGTGCAGCACGTTACTTGCACTCTCAACGTGCTGTTTAACGCACAACTGAATGCACGCCCAGCCCCAGCTGCAACACATTACACGCCCATCTAGTCCGCTACATAACGTAGAGTTTAATACACGCCCAGCCTCACCGCAAGCGCTGCCCGCACCCCCCGGTCCAGCAG